ACACCTGGACAGAGCAGCCCAGGAGGAGACAACCGACCCTTAACGGGGAAGCCGAACTTCCCACCCACCACCCAACCCCGACTTCCCGCCCCCGGCACTGGAAGCTTGAGGGCTCAAAGGACCCACTCCCAGAGTGTCTTACCAGCCCCACGGCGGGCAGCAAAGCAGAGCACTCTGCCTGGCCCACCCTGTGGGGTAGGATCCCCACCACAGAGCCTCAGAGAGGGAAGAACCCTCGCCCCACAGATGAGGAAACTGAGGACCCGAGCAGGAAGGGAGCTGGCCAAGATCACCCAGTTCTCCTTCCCTCTGGCTTCTCATCTCATTCTAGAATTTATCTGGGTAGTTCCAGGGGGAGGGGCGGGGGAAGAGCCCAGGTGGCAGGGAAGTCACTCGTGCCGCACAGCAAGGAGGAGGGAAATGGCGGTGTTGGCTTCCAGTTCTAGGGTCCTCTCCAATCCCTGACCCCTTGGCTCAGCCCCACCCAGGCTGTGGGAAGGGGCAGGCTGGCTAACTGGGTAGGGAGAGCCCTGGATAGAAAGACAAAAGATGTGCATTTTCCTCCCGGCTTGGAGACTGTGTCCTGGGTCTTTCTGGCCTCATTTCCCCCATCTGTGAAGAGAAGGCCAGAATAGATCAGGAACAACAAACTCAGGGATGTTCTTTCATCCTCTGCCCACGGCAGGCATTACAAATCTATCGCCGTGCTCTTTCCCATGAAGCCAAGACCGAGCCTCAGATTGCTTCTAACACAGCAGTCCAGGGCTGGAGAATCACCCAAGACTGGGTAATAGATGAGCCCCCCTGAGGGAAGAGAAGAGGAAAAGAAAGACTTAGCATTTCCTGAGTATCCAAGAGAGTCAAGCCACGGGGGACGTGAGCTGATTGAATCTTCACAGGGGAGAGGTGCAGCGGCCGAGGCTCGGCAAGGCTGCATGGCTGGCCTTCGGACACCGGAGGTATCTCCTGGACCACCCTCCCCCAGAACAGTGACACACAGCCAGCCAACAGCCACCACGGAAGCCCCTAAGGCACAGCCTCGCTCCATTCTCCTCTGGGCCCTACTACGCGCAAGCCTCGTGCCCATTCTACAGGCTCAGAAACGGAGTCACGGGGAGGGGTGCCAGCTGCCAGAGGGAGGAGGACTGGAGCCCGTGACTGGCTCTTCCCCACTCGTATTTATCAGGTGAACGCATGAAGCGCATGGTGCCAGTCCTCTCGCGAGATCGTGGGAGCCATGACTCATACATAGCACCCCACTTCAGAGATGAGGAAACTGGGGTGCCCCAGAGGAAGTGCCTCCCCCAGGGGTTCAAGTGGAAACCAGACCGTTTACCAGGGAGATAAGGGGGCGGGGACCGTGGAAGGGAAGTGAAGGGCTCTGGGAGCCCAAAGGGAGACGGAAGAGTGGGGGATCACATGACGGAGGCAGGAAATGAGGCTCTGGTGGAAAGGCCCAGCGCAGGAGGCCCACAGTGACATGGGAGGCTCCTGGCAGCTCCCAGCACCGGACCAGGAGTCCAGAGCCCTACAGCCTCGGCTCAGCCGGGTCACTTGTCCACAGGGAGAGACCCTAGTCACGGTCTAGTCAAGAGGCTTCTCCCCGCTGTATGTTCATCTGGAAAATGAACCGCCCTCGCCCCAGGCCAGGCTTTCAAGAAGCTGGGGTGAGCTGGACCCTCCCTCCCGGGTCAGCCTCCGCACACAGAGAGGTCAGGGCAGAGCTAACTTCACCCCGAACACGGTGGCCCTGGCTGCCAGCATCCCTTCCTGGGACAGTCCTGCCCAGACCAGCACCTCCGGACTCAGTGAGGTCATCACGCAAAGCCTTCGCCACACAGCTGGCGAGGCGAGACTCACTGTGCCAACCGACCTGCCCAATGTAATGCCAAGCAAGTGCCTCCTGGTGCCAGGCACGGGGCACACAGCCCTCCTTTCACCCTTGCCTAATAGGGAGGTAGTTATTGTCCTCATTTTCAAGACAAGGAAACGAAGTCTCAGATACAATGAGTGACCCAAAGACACACAAGTGAAGACGGTCAGACCTGTCTGACTCCGGAGCCCTCACCATACCTTTGGTCTCCAGCTGGCCCCTCCACTGCTCCCCACCTCACTCCCAGCCTCCAGCTACCCTGCATTGCACTTCCCAGACCCACAGTTCTCACTCTCCCCTGCCTTCCTGCTAGTGAACTCCTATGCCACTTCCAAAGCCCCGCCTCAAACGCCTCCTCCTCTTGACCCGATCTAGGCCTCCACGGAACACCTGGAGTCCATCCCACAGATCTAGTGCTACCAGATGCCTTGGCCAGCTCGGTACCCCTGGCCTTCCGCATGGAGCTGTTCACACAGGGGACCCCCATCAGCCCCCAGTGTGAAATGAAGGCCAAACTACTCCTCAAGGCCCACATGGTCCGGCCCTGCTGCTAACACCTCTCACCCAATCCTCTGAATTCTCTGTGCTCTAGACTCACCGGCTTTCCCACTGTTTCTCCACAACAGCACCTACTCCTGCACCACAGGGCCTTTGCACACGTAGTTTCCTCTGACAAGCCCTTCCCCTAGCTCTTCCACGCCTGACCAGCTCCTCCGCACTTCCTTCAAGATCCTCTGTTTCCCACACCTTTCTCTGTGCCCTTTATCACATCCATGATTATACATTCATTCGTTTGGCAACTTGTTTGCCATTTGGCTCACCCCCTAGACCCACATTTCTGGGACGCCAGGGATCTCTCCACAATTCCCCAGCAGGAACCCTCCCCGGTCAACGCCTCCCCACCAGTATCAGGAGCAAAAGAAAGAGCACCCTGTCCCCTTGTTAAGTGAACTGCTGCTCCTCTCAGCACCACCTCCTGGCAGCCTCCCAGCGCCTCCCTCCAGCTCCCACTGCCAGCCCCCTCCCCACACCGCTCAGCCTGAGTTCAAAGCTCCTAGGACACGGGCGGCGCTCAATGGTCATGGAGGCCTGTATCAAGATGGGTTTGGGAAACACAGAGTCCACTGCGGGCCAGGGGCGTGAGAGGGTGTGGGTCAGCAGGTCACTGAGCCATCTCCTGCCTGGTTCCCAGGGCACCATCAGGGAAGCAGCAAAAGCAGGAACTGGCTGTGAGCTAGGGATAGTTCGAGCTCCAGGAAGAGGCTAAGGGAGAGGAGGAGACAGCGAGGGGGAGAGGTGGCAGAGGAGGGCCTTCCTGGGAGAGGTGGGCCTTCAGCTAAGCCTTAAAGAGCAAGAGCAGATAAGCAGCTCAGAGGACAGGGCAGCCCAGGCAGGGACAACGTCGGGAGCAAAGGCCCAGGGGCCACCCAGGAGGACCTGGCCAGACAGTCAGCTGAGAGAGATGACACACCATAAATCACCTCCCTGGGTTGGAAAGACCACATCACCAAGACAACACACATCACCAAACAGCCTCGTGTCTCCCATGCCATCACCCACCGGTATAGTCCTTTCCCACAATGCCATGTGCCTGGTCGCACACTGGGCAACTCCTGCTGCCCCGACCCTGGAGGGGTTCGAGGGCATCTGGACTGGGGTCCCCGAGGTCTAGGTTTTAATCCCGGTGCCAAACTGCGAGGCGCTGGCCAAGTCACTCCCCCCCTCTTCACCTCAGTTTCTCCATCCGCAAAATGAGGACAAGCAGGAGTCCCTGCCTCGCAGGAGGTGCTCAGTAGATGTTCGCAGCTATCGCTCTCACTGGCCCGTTTCAAAACGGAGGCCAGGCGGAGCAGGGAGTTGCCTAAGGTCACACAGCGGCTGGGTGGCAGGGCTGTGCAGGGGGTATGAGGTGGCTTCCCCTGAGGGCCTATGACCTTACCCACTTCAGGAAATTAATCCAGGGAAGTGCTCATTTATTAAGCACCTACTACATGCCAAGCCCCTCCGTGCAGAAACACGTAGGTTCTTGCCCCAAGGATTCCCATTCCACCGATGGGAATTCAGAGGCAGGTCCCCTGGCCCAGGTCACCCAGTGGCATGAGCAGCCCAGGCGTCTGGCCTCCCCAGCCAGGAGGCTGAGAAGAGGGTCAGCAGCAGGAGGACCAGCCCTGCCCATTCTTGAAAGCAGTCTGATCTCCACTCACTCCCTGTGTCGGGGCCTGGACTCATCCCAGTTCACCCAGGGACCACGCTCCAATCGTACAGAATCCCTGGAGTTCAGAAAGCCTCCCCCAAGGCCCCCCAGGCTCTGTCCACGCTCAAGCTGGCCCGAAAGCCCCAGAGAGGGAACCGGTACCCCACAGGTGAGGTCCTTAGGTTCACCCCCTCCGCCAGGCCCACCGGCCACGGGTGAAGACCCTCCAGCTCGGAGAGGGAAGGCAGTTCTCTGAGGATCGCCAGCAAGGACACCCACGCCCAACCCGGGCCAGGCGGGCAGGTGGACCCGGCCTGGGGGTGAAACCCCAAAACTTTTGTCAACTTCTGAGCAGGTAGGCCTCTGGGCCCCATCAGGGGTGAGTCTGGGGGCTGGGCCCCAGAGGGCCCGAGCACAGTCTGGCCCAGTCCCCTTCCAAGCCAGTGGCACCCACCAGGCCCTGCCCAAAGCCCCAGGAGGACAGAGGTTCCGGTGCCCAGCCAGGCGCCCCCAGGCCTGGGTGCCGCGGGACCCCTCCCCACCTCCTCTCCTGGGCCGGGCACCAGGCCCCGCGCCGTGGCCAGAGGTGGCGCCGCCTGGCTCAGATTTCGGATTTGGCCTAGACCCGGCCTGGAGGCTGGGGCCGGGCTGGCTATCCTCAAGGGGCTCCGGGGGGCAGGGGGAGGCGGAGGAGGTCCCCGCGGGGACAGGACCCCAAGCCCCCGCCCGGCCCCCTCCCTCCCTCCGCGGCATCACAACAAAAGGCCGACCTGGGCGAGCCCTGCGCGCCCGCCCGGCGCTCGGGGACCGCGGTCCCGCCGGGGGTGGGGCGGAGTGGGGACCGGAGCCCCGCGGCCCGGCGATCGGCGCCGGGGTGGTCCCGGGCGGGGCTCCCAGCGCCGCTGGGACGGGGCGCGGGGCGGGGGCGCTCACCTGGGCGGCGGGCGGGCGGCGGGCGCACCGGGCAGATGGGCGCGCGGAGGGCGGCCCGGGGCGCCGGGGTCGGGCAGACGGCGGCCAGGCCGCTCCGGCTCCCAGGCCGGAATGGATTCCGGGCCGGGAGAGAGCGAGCGGGAGAGAAAGGGAGGAGGAGGAGGAGGAGGCGGCGGCCGGGAGGGAGGGAGGAGAGGGAGGGAGCGCACGAGCAGGGAGGAGGGGCCGGGAGGAGGAGGAAGGAGGAAGCGCGTGGGAAGGATTCCCCGCCGGTGAGTCGAGAGAGACCCGTGCGCGGCCCCCGACCCAAGCAGGGGGGTGGGGGTCCAGGAGCAGCGGGGGGGGGGGGGGGGCAGGAGGGCGGGGACGGAGGCTCGAGGCGCAGGAGACCCGCCCCCCACCCTGGAGGACCCCCATGGGTCCCCGTGCCAAAACGCCCCTCTTTAATTCCCCCCAACCTACCCACCCTATTTCCTCCACATCTACTTCTTGCAATATTAGTAATAGTAATAATAATATCAGCGCTAATGAAGCCCTCCGTTTCTTTCCAGGTGCCATGCCCATGGGTCTGGTAGACCTTGCATCTATTCCTAACAGCCAGCTGGGCTGGGAGGGAGTGGGGGGATGATTATCTCCATTTTACAGATTAGGAAACTGAGGCACGGGCTCTGGCCTTGATCTTAGTTGCCCAAAGTGGGGACTGGGGCCTGAGACACAGTGTGGAGAAGAGAAACGTTAATTTTTAATAGATTCGTGCTCATTTCAATGTGCTCTTCTTTAAAAAAAGCAGGTAAGGCAGCCCATCAAAGTCAGTCTGGATATGACTGCTGCTGAGGAAGGGGCTGAAGCGGGTCGTTAGTGGTAATTATTACCCTTTTAAGTAGATAAAAAGGCGAAGTGCATCTGGATGCTGGGGGCAGGAGTGAAGCAGAGAAAGTGGGCACCCAGGAAATGCCGCTTTAGCCACAAGGCCACCCACCACCACCATCTGGCCCCCCGTTCCCCCACCCCTCCTGGCTCAGGCTGCCCTCCTGGGGGTCAGCACCGGGTTCTTCCCCTGTCCTCCTGGACTCATAGCCGGGATTCAGCTTTAAGTACCGCTGGCTTCCTTCTCGGAAAGTTCTCCCATTTCACTGATGAGAAACTGAGGCCCAGCCAGGTCAAAGGGCACGAGGCCTGGATACCTGCTGAGAGGAGCAGGGAGGAGAACCCTGGCACCTGGGAGGCGAAGGCCTCAGGGTATACACATAGCACCCCGGAGACCAGGAATGAGCAAAGCCCTGAGCCAGACTGATCTGGGTTCAAGGGTAGGCTATTTGCACCTTGTACAAGTCAGAGGAGCGACCATGGACACAGATGACTCCTGGGAAGGTGATGCTAACAAATGATGACTCTTATGCTTAGTAAACTGAGGGGGGAGAGGGGAGGGGCTGCCGGAAGCCACATAGCAAGTCAAGGGAAGAGCCGACACCAGAGGCCATCCTCTGCTGGTGACTGGCGAAATGGCTTCCCTTGTTTACAAGGCTGGCTTACAGATTAACCTCCGCTTCCCAGGATTCTGGGCGGGCCCCTTGCTGGAGGAGCAGGTTTCCCAACCCTCCTTCGCTCTGCAGACGCATCTGAAGGTCTGTTTCTATCAGCCACATGGAGCTAGGGATGGGCTATTCACCCAGTGGCGTGCTGGACCTGGATTTTACCACTTGCAAGAGCAAATTTTGTTCATCTTTTCCAACTTCAGCCTCAGTGATTGGTAGCTTGATATCAGTCACTGTGGGTGTGTTTACACCTTGGAAATTGGCAAACACTGCAGAAAGCTGTTTGTTAAATACTTACCAGCACATCACTAGATGTATGCCCAAGAGTTCAACGGAAAGTCCTGGGCTCCTAGAACAGGGTTGACAAAGGGCTTAAAAGTAGAGACTTTGGGCCCACAGACCTGAGTTCAAGTCCCACCTTCTTGGAGGTGACCTTGAGCCTGAAAAATAGGCTACATCTTGTGCTTCCCTCAGAAGACTCGTGTGAGAATGACTGAGGTGCTGTGAGCTCAATAGGTGTGAGCCCTCGTTGTCATCCATACCCCTGCACTCTCTCCTAGAGCAGCGGGGATCATCTGTACAAGTCCTGGCTTTGCAAGCACAGATGCAGCCTTCTATCTGGATGGACCCACTGGCTCCAAGGGCTTGTCTCAGCTGCTGAGGCTCTCAGGAGGCACTTCAAGGGGATGTGGCCAGCACAATGGCTTTATTATTGAGCCTTGGAAATACTCATTATTTTCAACCATCCCTCTGGGCCTTTGCCCTGCCAGGAATGTTCACCCCATATCTCTAGCTTCTCAACCCTCCCTAGCCGTCAAGTTCCCAAGTGAATGCCATATCCTCCAGGACATGCTTCCTGAAATACCTCTGATGCAGGCATACCCCATCCATTCTGGGGGTCCCCATCCATTAGGAGAGGGGGGTCTGTCCTCACCCTGAAGGCAGACACTATGGCCTGGCCCCTGCCCAGCACAGAGCAGATGCTGCCCAGTTGGCTCGAGAGAAAGAACACACTGACGAGGGAGCCACACACAAGAGCTCATTCACGTCCCAACTCTTTCAGTCCTTGACTCTGTGACCCTGCCCTCTCTGAGTCTCAGTTTATTCGTCAATAAAATGGGATGACAACCCCACTAACTCCCAGGATTATGCAGATGCAAGAGTTGGTGGTCTGGCCTGATGGCTAAGTAACTCTCTCCGCATTATTTTGTTTAAAATTGTTAGTAAAATAGCAGCTCATTGCTTAGTACCCCCACATCACTCATCACCATGAATGGACAGCACGCATTGATTGACCACCAATGATATACACAGCCCTGGGGCAGGCCTGGAACGCCGAGGACAAGTTCCCAGCCCAAAGCACCCAGCAGGTGACAGATGTTAATGTCAACATTGTTGAGATGGTGAACACCTGTTGTACACACTGGCCTATCACTAGATACCTCTTCCCTCCTTCCCTCCTCCTGGATCAAAGCCATAGCTGAGGGCAGGATGGAGACAGTGGCGTGAGGCCTGGCCCCGCGCAATGGACAGCAGACTCCTGGGCAAGAGCTTTTCCGTGACACAGGATCAGGGGAGCTGCCCACACCCCGCCCAGGGCCCTGGCTTGATGGCGGTCTATCCGCTGTGCCCACTCCCAGCTCGAGGAGCAGGGACCAGGAGGCTGGACCCGTCACGGGCACTCAGCGGCCAATTCCAGACCAGCCCTGTCACTCCCCAGAACGTTTGCCGTGAGTTGTCTGTCCAAAGCCACCTGGCTCGGGGCACAGGTCAGGCTGGAAGAATGCGCAGGCTCAGCCTGAGGCTACGGAATGGGCTCGCCACCTCCCCGGCACTGCACCTTACCGTTCGCCCAGAGATACGGTTCCTGGGTGCATCCGCTGATCAGGCCCTTCCCGGCCATGCAGGCCTCCCGGCCGGCTCTCTTCCCAGCTCTGCTCACCCTGCATCTGTGCCCTCACTCCATCACAGCAGCTCCTTTCTTCCTGAGTCCTCTCTCCTTGCAGGTCCCTCTGTCTGAAACTCTCCCCAACCCCTAGCCTCTGACTAAGCCTCACTCTTTCTCCTGGCCTCTCGGTATCTCTCCTGAGCCTCTACCCGGTGTTGGCTTCTGTGCTAGGTGCTAGGGATACAGAAGTAAACAAACTAGGTCTCCTCTCTGCCTGGAGCTGCTCCTCGCCTGGAGGAGCAGGGAAGCGTGACCAGAGTGCCAGGTGGTGACGGGGCAAGCGCAGGAGGCCGGAGGGGCGCGGAGGAGCCGCCCGAGCCCAGCACGTGTGTTGGAATAGCGGGGCCGGTGAAGGGAGGAAGCTGTCTGTGGAGAGTACAGAAGCCTAAAGAGATGATGGTTTCAGGTGACAATGGACAGCGAAGGTGTTCCAGGCATGAGCAAACAGCATGAGCAAAGGCACAGAAACCCAAAGCACTGTTATGTTTGGAACCACGGCCAGAGCAGTGCGAATGGAACACAACCTGGAGTGGGGCAGTTGGGGTGGGACCCTTCAATGCCAGGCGTGGCCTCTGTCCTGGAGGCAGTGGGAGCCGTGCAGGGTGTGAGCAGAGGAGGGTCTGGGGGGGGGGGGGGGGTGTCGGCACTGAGTGGGAGGCAGATGCAGGGACAGGGAGAAGCAGTCCGAGGGCTCCTCACTGGTGGCAGCCCCGGCTGCTGGCCAGAGGAGGCAGCGCCCCGCTTACACGGGGGTGTGAGTATGTGGGCACATTCCTAGGTCCCAGGAATGAGGACGAACTTACTCAAAGGCTAAAACACAGGACACTAGAGAAGCGTCCCGCCCGAGCCTCATGAGAGTCGGAAGGAGCCAAGAGCAGGTAGGCATGTTCTCCCTCAGAGGCCGGCCCCAAAAGGGGTAGCCAGCTGCCAGCTCCAGTGTCCGCCTACCCTCCAGGAAAGGGATGGAGACAGGGGCACCTGCACAGGGGAAGCCCAAGGGATAACACACACATGGCAGCATTAACCACTGCTCACAGCCACACGTAACCAGAATCCTCACAGCCTCCTCGCCTGCAGCTGTGTGGCCAATGCACAGGTGGGAAGCCTGAGGCTCAGGCACTTCTCTGAACACCCCAGATTCTGGAGGCGAAACAGGGGATGCCTATGTGGAGACAGGTGACACGCCTGGCCTCGCCGGTATTGTGTGAAGGCCAAGTGCAGGGAAAGTCAGCCACTCCTCACGGTACTCCCCTCAGGCCACAGTGGAGGCCCAGAGAGGGACAGGCACGCTCCCAAGGCCACAGGGAGCGTTGCTGGCAGGCAGAGCCAGGCCCCCACCAGCCCCGGCCTCCCTCCACCACATCTCAGAATGTCTGTGAGGGGAGATAGCAGGAGCCGGGGCCCTTGATCTTCCTGGCCTGGCAGGAGGGCAGAGGGCAGGCGGAAATCTGCAGCGAGGGCTGTGACTCAACAGGGATAAAAACCTGCTGAGCGGAGAGGAGGCTGCCTGCACAGGAGGGCTTCAAAGAGCAATTGTAAAAATAATCATCCCAGCGGAGGCTCACAGCCACCCTGTGCAGTTTCCGGTTCCAGGGGCCGTGAGTGTAGCATCGCGTTTGTTCTTCACAGCCCTGCGTGTCAGAGCTATTGTTGTTCCCATTGTACAGATGAGGAAACTGAGGTGAGACGAGGTGATATGTCA